GCCTGTTTCAGATTCTGTGTCTCCCCTTTCTGCCCCTCCCCAGCTCACACTCTGTCTCTCTCTTCCTTTCAAAAATAAAAATAAACATTATGGGGCGCCTGGGTGGCTCAGTCGGTTAAGCGTCCGACTTTCGCTTAGGTCATGATCTCGCGGTTCGTGGGTTCGAGCCCCGCGCTGGGCTCTGGGCTGACTGTCAGCTCAGAGCCTGGAGCCTGTTTCAGTCTGTGACTCCCTCTCTCTCTGACCCTCCCCTGCTCACGCTCTCTCTCTCTCTCTCCTAGAAATAAATAAAACATTAAAAAAATTTTTTTTAATAAAAAAATAAAAATAAAAATAAACATTAAAAAAATTAAAATGAAGTGAAATTAAGACTTCAGTTTCTCGTGGCACTAGCCACACATTTCAAGTGCTCAATAGGCCATATGTGGTTAATGGCTACCATATTGGAAAGCACACATCTAGGAGCCAGGGACCCTCTTCCCTTTTTCATAGGACCAGCTGTGGAGAATCTGAGCTTGGCTTTCTTTTTTTTTTAATGTTTATTTATTTTTGGGATAGAGACACAGTGAGGGCATGGGAGGGGCAGAGAGAGAGGGAGACACAGAATCCGAAGCAGGCTCCAGGCTCTGAGCTGTCAGCACAGAGCCCGATGCGGGGCTCGAACTCAAAAACCCAGTCTGTGGTAGTTTCTTACATAGCCCTGACACACCACTATAAGTGCCTTCCTGTGGTCTGTGTGGCCTATGCTTCCTCACAGGATGGCAGAATGGCTCCAAGAGAAAGACTCCCAAGAGGACCAGATACAAATGGTGTCACCTGCCACAGGGAGTCATTTCCTCTGTAGTCACAGACCTGCTCCCATTCAAAGGGGAGGAAACATAGATTCATGTTTTCATGGGATGATGATGATGTTGCAAGAAGAAGCGTGGAGAATGGGAGATCCCATGGCCGCCATCTTGGAAAACACAATGTGCCAGACCAGATGGGTAACTTGCAGAAATGGGGATGGTGTCGTTAACCAAGACAGGGTCACAGGAGGAAGGGGAGAAGGTCCAAGGTGAGTTAGATGATGAGGTAAGATTTGAAAAGGTTGGGTTGGCAGAGCCTGTCAAACTTTAGGTGGAGGTCGCCAGCCCCTAGGAAGTTAGGGACGTGAACCAAGACCTTGGGAACATGTTTGGACCTGGAATTGTCAATTTGAGGACCATCAACCCATAGAGTGAGAGCAGATGAGGGTTATCTATTGCTGCATAATGTACCATGCCAAGTAGGCAAACCCTAAGAGACTCTTTTTAATTTTTTAAAATGTTTATTTATTTTGAGAGAGAGAGAGAATGTGAGCAGAGAAGGGGCAGAGAGAGAGGGAGAATCCCAAGCAGGCTCCATGCTGTCAGCGCAGAGCCCAATGTGGGGCTCAAACTCACGAACCATAAGATCATGACCTAAGCTGAAATCAAGAGTCGGACACTTAACCGACTGAGCCACTCAGGTGCCCAAATAAGGACTCTTAAAGACAGAGAACAAACTGAGGGTTGTTGGAGGGGAGGTGGGGGGAGGGATGGGCTAAATGGGTGATGGGCATTAAGGAGGGCACTTGTTGCGATGAGCACTGGGTATCGTACGTAAGTATTGCAACACTCTGGTTCTACTCTGGAAACCAAAATGACACTGTATGCTCACTAATTTGAATTTAAATAAATACATTTTAAAAATAATAAACCACACCAAAGCATAGTGGCTAAAAATGACTATTTAATATTTTTCCATAGATTGGCTGGGTCGTTCCCCTTCTGGCTTCACCTGGCTCACTCGTGGGGCTGCGTTCATCCAGTCAGCTGGAATTTCCAAGAGGGTCTCGCTCACATGTCAGGAAGGTGATGCCAGCTGTCAGCAAGGATGCCAACCATTTTTCCAGCTGGGCCACTTGGGTTTCTCTTTCCCTGTAGTCTTTCATCCGGGCTTCTTCACAGCATCATGGTCTCAGAGCAGCGTTCTAGGTGGGCGGGTCCCAGCGTACAGGACTTATCGAGTACACCTGCTAATGCCGCGCTGGCCAAAAAAATCCTATAGTCAAAGCCAAAGTCAATGCGGGACGCCTCACCAGGAGGCATGACTCACTGGCAGCCATTATTGTAAAAATACACATATGGGAAGGAACACCGGGTGGGCCTCCATTCATTTTAGGGTAGGGCAGAGAAGAAACCACAGATGGAAAGCTGGAAGAACCAGAGAAAGACCAGAGGAGTGCAGGGCTAAGGAATTGAGAGAGAGAGAGAGAGAGAGAGAGAGAGGAGTGAATTCCACTGGGAAAGTGCCACCCAGAACTAGCATGACCTTGACAGTGGATGTCTTCATCCTAGTCCCGGCCTGAAACCATCCTCTGGATCTGGCAACCCCCAGGCCCACGTCTTTAACACCTCAACATGGATTTCTGTAGTCGTGTCACAGAAGTCGTAAGCACCAAATACGGCTCAATGGAAGCAGTTCTGCCGGGGCCAACCAACACCGTCTCCATTTGCAAACTTTATGATGGTCTGGCTCGACTAACGAGAAAACTCACAGTGTTGCCGAATGCTTTCGACCAAGACCACAGTAAGAAATACCTTGGCATCAAGATCCAGCAGAGGGGGAGGCGCCTAGGTCCGTGAAGCACCTGGCTCTTGTTTTCGGCTCAGGTCACGATCTCACAATTTGTGAGTTCGAGCCCCACTTCGGGCTCTGTGCTGATGGTATAGAGCCTGCTTGGGACTCTCTCTCTCTCCTGCTCTCTTTGCCCATCCCCTGCTTGTGCATGCACTGTCTCTCAAAATAAATAAATAAATAAACTTAACAACAACACAACAAAGACATCCAGCATAAGCACGCGCACACGCACGCACGCGCACACACACACACACACACACACACACCTGAACGCACATAAGTACACACAGGCCAAAATTAAAGTTTCCTGCAACTTAGAAGAGGTGTTAAAGTAACCTACCCTTGCTCCATGCAAAACTCTGCCATTTCTTATTTATTTATTTTTTAAATGACAGTCAGGTCCTGCTAAACTGTTATCACATTCCACTCATGGGTCATGGCCTACAGATTAGAAAACACTGACTTAGGGAGTGCATAGGTGGCTCAGTCGGTTAAGCGTCCAACTTCAGCTCAGGTCATGATCTCACAGTTTGTGGGTTCAAGTCCCGCATCGGGCTCTGCGCCGACAGCTCAGAGCCTGGAGCTTGCTCTGGATTCAGTGTGTCCCTCTCTCTCTGTCCCTCCCCTGCTAGTGCTCTGTCTTTCTCTCTCTCAAAAATAAACACTAAAAAAAATTTTTTTTATTAGAAAGAAAATGCTGACTTAGGCCGTCCAGTGCAGAAGTCAGAAAAGTGACCGAATCCTACCTTTAGTCTTGTTTGTTTGGTTTCACCTGTTGGCTTGTTGTTTTCTTTAGTTGAATGTGACACCTCCAGGCAGGACTCCCTTCTTCAGTTCCACTTAGGGCTGTCTGCTACCCAGCTGGTTCACACATCTATTATGTTACTTGCCTGGGCCCGGGATGCATCTCTGTTTGGGCTTTCTAGGTCCCTAGATTCTAAAAGGATAGCGTTTACATTTATGAAATGAATCACATTTATGAAATGAATTTATATTGAATGCGTGTCTGTCACGTACAGGTCACATTGCAGGCAGACACTGGCAATAAAGCAGAAAACAGACCAAAATCACTGCCTTCAAGGAGCTGAGATTCTAGAAGAGGAAGACAGACCCACCAACCAACCAACCAAAGTAACTATATTCTTTATTAGAGGGTGATAAATTCTTTAGTGAAAACAAAGCGGGGAGGGGATCAGCCTGATAGCAGGCTTCACACCTCTTTGTGGAAACCTGGGAGCCTCTTCTACTCTGACCTCAGAGAGAGAGCGTGGGAGGGCAGAGCCGGAGTCTTCCTCTAAAAGAGCCTTCCCAGACCGCCCCAGCAGGTAAACCTGGCCCATCATGTCCCCAGATTACGCTGCCAAAGAGCAGAGCGCCAGCCAACTTTAACCTAGACTGTCTCAAACCAGTCAGCCAGCAAGGGGAAGCGTCCCAGGCCACGGTCCCCGGCACACCGCCTCCGCGGTGGGAAGCCCTTCGGCTTATTTCAGACTTTACACTCCTTCGGCCTTCGCGGCCCCCCATCACCCTCCCTGGCGCGCGCGGGCTAAACCCGCCACCTCATTAGATCTGCCTCCGTGACCCCTCTCGACCGGACTCCTGGTGACCGCGCCTGCCTTATCGCTTGCCTCTCCTCCCTCACATTTTCCGCTCCAGCAAAGCCAAACACAGCCCTGTGGGGGCTTTCACGCTTCTGTGCTTCGGACACGCCGTTCCTTCTGCCTGGAAGGCCTCGGGCCTCGGGCCCCGCCCCCCTCCTCGGCGAGCTCCCATTCATCCTTCAGAACCCAGCCCGGATGACCCCTTGGTCCAGGAATCCCCCGCCAGACCCCTCGGCCCCACCTCTGTCCGCAGCACTCTAAGCGGCGGTTCGAACCGGCGGTTTCTCCCCGCCATCCCCGTATCGCAGACGCGGGCCTCCTCCCGCGCCGAGGCCGCGCGGGCTGCTCGCTCGCACTCCGGAGCGCCGGGTCCCGAGCTCGGCTCGCAGTGAGCGCCCGCAGCTAGGCCCAGGCCGGCCCCAGCGGTCCCCGGCCTGCTCCGCGCCCCAACCCTCCCCCGCCTCCCCTGCGGCGGCCCGGCGGGCGCCCGCGCTCCTCCGGCCTTCGGCGGGCTCAGGGCCGGCCCCCCGCGCGGCCGCCCAGCCCCCCGACAGCCCCGGCCGGCGGCGCCCCGGCCGCGCGCGCGCGACTACAAGTCCCGGCACGCCCCGCCGCGGCCGCGCATGCCCAGCGGGCCGGCGTTTGAGTGGCAAGTTGTTTGTTACAGCGAACACCAGCTGCTCTCCGCGCCGGGCGCCGCGCGCCGCCGCTCCGCCAGCGCTGCCGCCCTCGCCCGCCGCCCGCCCGCCCGCCCGCCCGCCGCCCGCGGCCCCTCGCGGCTCGGCGGGCCTCCCCCTTTGTCCGCCCCGGGCCGCCCGGCGCCGAGCTCCCGGTCCCCGGGCCGGCCGCCCGCGGCGCTCGGTGCCGGCTGGGCGCGCAGGGGGCGGGGGCCGCGGCTCGCCCCCCGCCGATGAGCCGCCGCGGAGCGCGGGCGGACGATGGAACTCCACATCCTGGAGCACCGGCTGCAAGTTGCCAGCGTCGCCAAGGAGAGCATCCCGCTCTTCACCTACGGCCTGATCAAACTTGCCTTCCTGTCCTCCAAGACCAGGTGAGCGCGCGGGGACGCGGCGCCGGCCAGGGAGAGACAAAGAGGCGCACCCGGGCGGCTGTTCTCGCCGCCGCGGCTCGGAAAACAACTTCGAGCCCCGATGAAGCGCCCCCGCCCCGCCGCCCGCCTTGTTTTCGACGCTGCCATCCGATCTGCCCTCGAGCGGGGTCCTTCCTCCCGACCCCCCCCTCCCGAGCCCCGCCTCGACGCACCCCCGCCGCTGTCTACCCCCCCCCCCCGCGCATCTCGGCCCCCTCCCTCCCGTCCCCTCCCCGAGATCCGAAGGGCCGGGGAGGCTGCAGTGACGAATCCGTGAATGAATGAACGAACGAATGAATGAATGAAAAACAGGTGTGGGGACGCGGCAATGGAAAAAACAAACTAACACCCCCATCCCCCAATCCCTCGGTTGGGCCGGCCCCCGTCGCCAGGGCCGGGGGAGGGATTCAGCTGAGCGCGGCTACCCAGAGAGCAGAAAATCATAAAATCATTAGTGGGTGTTTATCTCAAGGTGTCTGTGAGGGTTGCGGGAGGCCGGGGGAGGGCCGAGGAGGGGCTGCGGGTGAGGGTCGAGGTGCTTCTTTCTCCTCCAGGTCCAGGAAGGTGGGGGGGCGGGGGGTTGCCGAACCGTGGAAGGGGGAGGAGCAGGCGTGTTTATGGCTCAGCTCGAGGCTGGGCTTGGATGCTGCCGGGGAAGGCCTTGGGAGGTTGGGGAAGAAACAAACAAACAAACAAACAAAACCAAGTTGGGTTTTCCCACTGCCGCGTCAGGGCCTGACTTTGTGAGCCCCCGCCGGTGCTCGGTGTGGGGTGTGTTTTTTAGGGAGCCGGAGCCCAGCGGAGTGCGAGCGCCGAGCTGGCCGCTGTAACTTAAATCCCTTGTTTGTCCACCATTGTGACTGTTGAAAGCCGTGAAGTTGTCCCCGGGTGGGTTTTTTTCGGGGTTGCGGCGGAGGTGGTTCCCCCATGGCTGCAAAATGAATGAGTACGTTACAGGTCAAGGTTAAGGTTAAAATGACAGGCCCCTGAGGCTGCCCCCCTTGGGCAGCTGAGCTCAGGGAAGCTCTGGGGATGCAGGGAAATAATTCAATCTGAGCCTCTTATCTGCCTGTTAAAGTTCTTGCCTGGAAATCTCACTTTGGTGTGTGTGTGTGTGTGTGTTTGTGTGTGTGTGTGTGTGTGTGTGTGTGTGTGAGAGAGAGAGAGAGAGAGAGAGAGAGAGACAGCATGAGCGGACAGCTCAGTCCTGCCATTGTTTGCAAGATGTGCGAGATCTTGTTTACTTTCTTCCCCGGGCTGCTCCGTGGGGTATGGAGGGTTGAAAACCTCTCCTTTGCTGGGCCCTGGGCTCCTTTGATTGCAAAGGTAATTATTAAACAGGTCATTTGAAAACAAAAGCCAACAGCTGAAATTCTGAACCTTCCCCCCCCGCCCCCCTCTGGCTGTTGACACCCCCCCAACCCTCATCTACCTGCCCTCTGCCCCCCACTCCGCCCCCCACTCCCTAGCCTGCCTTGAGCTTCCTAGGCTGGGGGTAAGAGAACCCGGCCTTGTTTTTCCAACCCTTGGCCCTCAGCCCCAGGCAGCCCCCTGGCTGATGTGTCTGCTACCATTCAACCCAGGATGATGACTCAGGCTGCGGCTGTGTGGGGCCCCGGTGGGTGCTGGGAGGAGGGGGTGCTGGGGGCTTCTTAGAAAGGCAGCAGAAAGCCCCTCCCTCGGTCCCTCACCTTTTGTGTAGGGGCTGGCCCTCCTCAGCCCCCACCCCAGGGTTCAGTTTAGAGGACTCACAGACGTGCTGCAGAGGGGGGGAATGGGGGGGCGAGGGAGGGGGGGCAGAGCCCCTCCTGACCTGTCTGACCACAGAAAACCTACCCCTAGTTGAGTCCTGAGTCCTCCTTCTCTGTCCCCTGCTGGAGGCAGCTGGTCTGTGGCCCAGGTGACCAGTACGGGCTCAAGATGACTCAGAGGTCAAAGGTCGTCTCCTTGTCTCCAGGGTCTGGCTCCAGAAGGTGCTTGCCTCTTCTGTACTCTGGGCTGGAACACTGGCTTCAGGTTGTGGCTGGCCCCTGACTGCGTGGGTGACCGTGACCGTGCCAGGGTCCCTTTCCTCTTCTGGCTCTCCCTCTGTCCGTAATGAAGACAGCACCATCTGGCCCCCGGCTTCTCCCAGGGCTGCTGTGTGCAGCATGGGGTGATTGTGGCCATCGGCCTTTTAGCAAGCAGAAGGGGTAGTTACGGGTGGGATCCAAGCTGTTTTCAGTCATCAGTCCTCCAGGGCAAACTTTCGCTCCGTTTTGATTCTTCCACCAGCCCCTGCCCCCAAGTGGTGGCCCATAGCCCTGTCATGTTCCCTACCCTACCCTGCCCCCAACCCAAGTTTAGCCCAAACTAGTGCAGTATAGACACATACACCCTCTCCCCACAACCCCCCCCCCCACCCCAGTGTCTCTGTTCACAAGTTTTCCACCGCTTCCTGTAGGATCATATCCTTGTCATGGCCTTTGGGATCTAGACCCAGAATCCTCAATCTTCACCCATTCAGGCCAATCCTCTGGTGACCCACAGTTTCCTTTTCCTTCCCTTCACGCCTCTGTACTTTCGTATTTCCAATTCTCCCCAGAAACGTGTCCCTCTCCCAACAGATTTCTGTTTACCCCCAAGATCTAGTGATATCGCCCTGAACCTTTCCTGTGTGTGAACCCCACACACACTTCTCTTCATCCCTAGCAGACTTAAGACTTAATCATTTTTCCCTCTTGTTTCTGCCTGGGTCAAGGGTTGGGGAGAGACCTTGGTAGATACCTACGGTGGGGGGGATGGGGGGAGTAGCAACTGCATCTAATGAATGCTGAGATACCCTGCCCCTTCCACTTCCAAGCCCAGAGCCTGATGGGAGAGAAAGAAGACACAGTTAGAACAGGGCAAGGTGGGGTCAGGGAAGGGGTGGCAGGTGGGGTAGCAGACAGCCCTGAGGGAAGCCTGGGAGGCTCCCTGTAGGAGGTGGCACTGGATTTTAGAGCTTCAAAATAGGAATTAGCTGGGTGGGAAGGGGATCCTAGTCCAAGTTCCTGCATACACCACTCTCCCGCTCCGTGAATTGGGTTTTACACCTCCTTTGCAAAGAAGTCTGAGACTCAAAGTTCAGGTGAAGTGCTCAAGGTCATACGGTAAGTGGCAGAGGCAGGATTTGAAGCTGCACCTTTCTGCCCTAAGCTCAGAGATTTGCTGTTACAGGTTCAAGCAGTGCCCTTATTCAACAGTTAGGTCCAGTTCTTCCTGGCCACGCACTGTTCTGAAGCCTTTAGGAGCACAGAGCCCAGGCCCTAGGCTTCCTGTATCCCTTCTGCTCTGCCTCTGTGGGTCTTTTCTCTCCTGGGAATGCTGGCTGCTCAGTCACCTGCCATTACGCTTCGCACTTAAGCACTGCCTCCTTCAGATGCTCCCTCCCTGTTCATCTGGTGTCCTGCACAGCGTATCGTTGGCTCCTTCTTCTCCCACCTTGACAGTAAACCGTATCTAACCTCAGGAAGCTTTTTGAGCATCGTTTTACCCGCTACTTCCCCTGCACCCCCAACCAGTACCAGAGATAATAGAGCAAACGTTTGATTTCACCATCTCTTACCAAGAGGTACAGATGCTGCGTTTGGAGAAGGAAGGTGGCTTGCTCAAGGTCACACAGCTGGGAAGAGACAGAATTGGGATTTGAACCAGGTCCTTTACTGTGCTTAGCACACTGCTTTGTAGGCAGTTAGTAACTCCTTGTTTGATGGATGTCCGGCTCGCACACAGAGTGACCCACATTTCAGCCAGTCTTTTCTGAGCACCCTGGGGTCTAGAAGAGGCACCTGGAGAAGCCAGGCCGAGGGCCCCCTGCCCCCTGCCAACGTGTAGGGCAGCATCTGGGTGTGACCGGACCAGCCCCTGAGTGAATAAAATCAATACCATCCGCGGAACTTCTCTGCCTTTGGGGTCACCTGGGGCTCTGCCGCATGGCTGAGGGCTCACTGCAGCCCTGCCTGCCTCTCCCCAGCCTCACCTGCCTGGGCTTCAGCTGCACAAGATCATTTCTCCTACATGTACACAAGTGTGCATGCGCGCAGACACACACACACACACACACACACACACACACACTCACACACACATGCTCTATGGTGTCTGCAGCTTTAGACCTTTGTTCTACTTGGACTGTTATTCTTTGCCCTACCCCCTTTATCTTGCCTGCTCATTCTTTTAGATTCCATTTTAACCTCACCTCCTCCAGAAAGTCTTCCCTGAGTGCACAAGCCGAGCTTAGACCCTTCCTTCCTTCGGGATGATGGGTTTTATCTCAAGAAGATGAAATGTGACCAACCACAAGATATCAGCAGGCTGCTTTGGGCTGCAAAAAACAAAAAGCCTTGCCTTCGCTGGCCTAAATGACGATTAGTTTGTGTGATGAGAGGTTGCAAGTCAGGGCTGCTCTAAGGTTAGTAACGTAAAGGGTCAGTGATGTCCTCGAGGACCCAGGTCTTTGGCCATCCTTGGCCTGACGATGTGGCTCTCTCTGGAACGGCTGGGGCAGTGGCAGGCTTTATTGGCTGTCAGGAGAAAAGACGAGGGAGGGAGAGGCCCCTTGCCTCCAGACGGTTTCCAGAAGCCTCTCCAGGAACTCTCCAAGCCCTTCTCCCGCATAGCCTTCATCTCCAGGAGCAGAACTGGGTCACCTGAGCAGGCCTGCACCAATCACTGGCATGGGGGATGAGACCATCGCAGACCAATCAGGATCCAGCACCGTTAGAGGGGCCCACCACCCCCTGGGGGCTCAGGGCCAGGGGGAAGTGGACCCTCACCAGTCTCTTGTAGGACTCAGATTTGCTCTCTGCAACCCCCTAAGGCAAAACTGGGATCCACTGAGACACATATGGTAAAACTGTGACCACTCGACGTGGGCGTTAGAATATTCCCATTCTACAGATAAGGAAAGCAAGGAACTCGAGTGCCCAAGGACACACGGAAGGGGCAGAGCTGGGATTTGAACTCAGTATGTATGGCGGTAAAAGCTGTCCTGATGACCAGTCAGCCAGGCCCAAGAGCCCGCTGGCTGGACGGCCCAGCCCCAGGGGCCGTTTAGCAGAGGTGTCGCTGAGAAGCCATAGCAGCAAGGGGAGGACAAGGTCAAGGCCACCGTCCTGAGATGCATTCAGGTGGCAGGAAGCTGTAAGACCCTCTTTTTCTTTTGCCCATAAAATGCTCTTTTATCTTTAAATTCCACCCTAAAAAGTCCATCTCATTTGATTGGCAGAGAAGGCGCCCAGGCGAGGATGTGGTAAGCAGGTGCTCACAAGCACCTGCACCGCCCACTTGGGCCAGATCACAGCCAGAAGGTGTCTGGTGTGCTCAGACCTACGTGTGGGAAACCTTGCCGACTCCTGATAGTGGCTCACTCTCACATACATATTTTTAAAAAGGAGACACTTCTAGGAGAAAAGGTCAAGATTGCAAAAAGTCCATCCAGAGCCCTCATCGTTTCCTGAGCGCATTGGCCTGAGGCCGGTGCTTGATTGCAGTTTAGGGAACGGTAAGCTGGTGGCGGTATCAGGGCCTGGGGACCCAGTGCCTTGGCTGGAATTCCAGCACTGCTGCGTGCTGGCTGTGTGACCTTGGGCAAGTTGCTTGTCTCTGTGCGGTCAATTTCTTACCTCTTAAACAGAGATTGGGATCATGCCTACCACTAGGCCGCCGCGAGGCCTTAATAAGACATGATGAGCTCCAGTAGAGCCTGGTCCGCGATAAGCTCCAATAAGCGTTAGCTGAGAGAACGCCCTGGCGAAGCTGGTGAGTGCCGGGGCTGAGTTGGAAAAGCCCAGGGTTCGGAGACTTTTTATGGCTCCGCACATGCATACGTACGCTCTGATTCTAGCAAGTGGAGACTCTGACACTGCCCTCCAGGAACCTACCTGAGGACCTAGGTCACTTAGGACCTCGGCAAGGGGCAGCCAAGGTGCTATAGGGCCCCAGAGCTACAAGCAGGAAAAGCTTCCTGGAGGAGGTGGCACTGTTTGAGCTGAGCCGGGGCAGAATGAGAGGACGGCAGGAGGTGGAGGTGCGGAGGATGAGGGAAGACCGGTCGGGCAGGCGGGCAGCTGGAGGGGGTGGGCACAGGTGGGCCAGGGGAGGGTATGGGTGGAGAGCACGGGGTGAGCCCCAGGGCCATTTCTCACCCCCACGCAGCCGGCTCAGCCCCAGCTGCGGGGCACCGGGCACGGACGACATGGCGCTGCCCTTGGCCTCCCCACAACCAGCTGTTGAGTGTGGTCTGCCTGTTGTCGCCTGTGCTCGCTGCCCCCACCACGGCGGGTCCTTCTCACCTCTCCCCTTATTTAGCCAGGCGGCTTTCCCCCCGGGTCCCTCTGCCTCCAGGGCTGTGTGTGTGGCCAGCACAGCCAGGGGCGCACAGCCCAAGCAGAAGCCTGGAGACTGGAGGGAGAGGTGCGTGCAGAGTGCAGGCCGTGGCTTGCGGCCGGTATGAGAACAACTTGGGCTTGCTGCAGACACCCAGGCAGCGTGCACCTGCCGTGCGCTGGGCCCGCTGGGAAACACAGACGGAGAGTTCCAGAGCTAGGGCTCCCCTCACTGAAGCGGCGCCTGGATCAGCGACTTTCTTTGAACGAAAGGAAGCGGGCAGGAGTGACGGTGTGAGTCTCCAAGCCTTGGGCGTAAATGGATAGCTTCTGCCCGGCTGTGTCTCTCTGTCTGCCCCTGGTGTCCCTTGGATCCCTTGCTCCGTGGGGGGCAGCCGCCGTGTCACGAGGACACAGAAGGGGCCCTGTGGAGGGGGACTGGGGCCTCCCACCGACAGCCAGCCGCCTGGAGAACAGACCCTGCCACCCCAGCAAGTCTTCCAGTGACCGCAGCCTCCTAAGCGATCGTCCGCTACGAGTACCCGCTTCCCTAA